CACCTCCACTGAAACCCCCCCATAGGCCCTCTGCCCCCACACCCCACACCCCACTCCCATAACAACCCCCTATAGGCCCCTGCCAGGGCACCTGTTCCCCCTAGCCCACCTCTCTCCCCAGACCACAGTTATTGAAAAGAAATTGAAGGTTTGGTACACGAACATGGATGGAGTAACGATTAATGTGAGGAATGGTATGAAAGAATCAAGGAGATGTTCCCAGACATCGTAGCGGTTACAGAAACAAAACTCACTGAGATAATAACAGATGCAATCTTCCCACCCGGATATCAGATCCTGAGGAAGGATAGGAGCAGAGGGGGAGGGGGGGTTGCACTACTAATTAAAAACCGGTGGGGTTATCAAAAAATGGAAGGAATGGACGAGATTGGAGAAAGGGATTACAAAGTAGGTACAGTTCAGTCAGGGGAACACAAGGCAGTCATTGCAGTGATGTATAACCCACCACAAAACTGCAGGAGGTCAAGAGAGGAATATGATGAGTGCAGCAGAACAATGGTGGACACACTAGCTGAGGTGGCAAGAAGAGCTCACTCAAGTAGAGTGAAGTTACTGGTCCTAAGTGACTTCAATCACAGGGAGATTGATTGGGAAAACCTGGAGCCACATGGGGTCCTGAAATATGGAGAGCCAAGATGATGGATGTGGTGCTGGCAAATATCATGCACCAACATGTTAGGGACACTACCAGAGAGAGAGGGGAGGATGAACCAGCAAGACTGGACCTTGTGTTCCCCCTGAGTAGCTCAGACATTGAGCACATCACATATGAAAGGCCCCTTGGAGCTAGTGGACCACGTGGTTTATGAGCTTTGAATACATCGTGGAGCTAAAAGTGGAGAGGGTAACAGGAGTAGAAAGGGAAAAGCTAAACTATAAAAGGGGGGACTACACAGGAATGAGGACCTTCCTGCAGGAGGTTCAGTGGGAGCAGGAGTTGGTAGGAAAATCAGTAAACGAAATGATGGACTTTGTAACAACAAAATGCAAGGAGGCAGAGGAAAGGTTTGTTCCCAAGGGTAACAGAAATAATGGGAAGGACAGAATGAGCCCTTGGTTTATCCGAAGGTGTAGGGAGGTAAAAACTAAGTGCTCTAGAGAATGGAAAAAGTACAGAAGGCAAAGGACTCGGGAAAATAAAGAGATTAGTCGACGAGCCAGAAACAAGTATGCACAGATAAGGAGGGAGGCACAGCGGCAGTATGAAAATGACATAGCATTGAAAGTCAAGTCTGTCCCAAAACTACTCTACAACCACATCAGAAGGAAGACAACAGTCAAGGACCAGGTAATCAGGCTGAGGAAAGAAGGTGGGGAGCTCACAAGAAATGACCAGGTAGTATGTGAGGAGCTCAACATGAGATTTCAGGAAGTATTTACAGTGGAGGCTGAAGGGACACTGGGAAGACAAAACAGTGGGGTACATCAACAAGGGATATACTAGCAAGTGTTGGATGAATTGCACACAACTGAGGAGGAGGTGGAGAAGCTCCTAAGTGACCTTGATACCTCAAAGGCGGTGGGACTGGACAACATCTCTCCATGGGTCCTTAGAGAGGGAGCAGAGACACTACATGTGCCACTAACCAAAATCTTCAACACTTCCCTTGAAACTGGGCAACTACCTGAAGTATGGAAGAAGGCAAATGTAGTCCCCATCTTTAAGAAAGGAGACAGAAATGAAGCACTAAATTATAGACCAGTGTCACTGACGTGTATAGTTTGCAAAGTCTTGGAAAAGATTATCAGGAGGAGAGTGGTGGAGCACCTGGAGCAGAACAAGATTTTAAACGACTGCCAGCACGGATTCATGGAAGTTAAATCCTGTGTCACAAACCTACTAGAGTTTTATGACAAGGTAACTGAAGTAAGAAATGAGGGAGAGGGGTGAGTTGATTGCATTTTCTTGGACTGCAAGAAGGCCTTCGACACAGTTCCTCACAAGAGATTAGTACAGAAGCTAGAGGAACAGACAAATATAACAGGAAGGGCACTGCAATGGATCAGAGAATACCTGAGGTATCACAGTGGGTGCCGGTGATGAGCGGGGTCCCAAAGGGGTCAGTCCTGGGACCAGTGCTATTCTTGGTATATGTGAAAGACATGACGGAAGGGATAGACTCAGAAGTGTCCCTGTTTGCAAATGATGTTAAGTTAATGAGGAGAATTAAATCAGACACAGACCAGACAGGTCTACAAAGAGACCTGGACAGGCTGGATTGTGTGGTCCAGAAACTGGCTCCTAGAATTTAACCACCAAATGCAAAGTCATGAAGATAGGAGGAGGGCAAAGAAGACTGCAGAGTATAAGCTAGGAGGCCCAAAGGCTGCAAACCTCAAGGAGAAAGACCTAGGGGTGAGTATAATACCGAGTACATCGCCAGAAGCACACATTAACCAGATAACTGCTGCAACATATGGGCACTTGGCAAACCTGAGAATAGCATTCCAGTACCTCTGTAAGGAATCCTTTCAAGACTTTATACACTGTGTACGTCAGGCCCATACTGGAGTACGCTGCACCAGTTTGGAACACACACCTGGTCAAACACATCAAGAAATTAGAGAAAGTGCAAAGGTTTGCAACAAGGTTAGTTCCAGAGCTAAGGGGAATGTCCTATGAAGAAAGGTTAAGGAAATCGGTCAACGACGCTGGAGGACTGGAGGGTCAGGGAAGACTTGTAACAACATACAAAATACTGCGTGGAATAAACAAGGTGGACAGAGACACGATGTTCCAGAGATGGGACACAGAAACAAGGGGTCACAATTGGAAGCTGAAGACTCAGATGAGTCAGAGGGATGTTAGGAAGTATTTCTTCAGTCATAGAGTAGTTAGGAAGTGGAATAGTCTGGCAGGCGATGTAGTGGAGGCAGGAACTATACATAGTTTTAAGACAAGGTATGATAAAGTTCATGGAGCAGGGAGAGGGAGGACCTAGCAACGGTCATTGAAGTGGCGGGGCCAGGAGCTGAGTCTCGACCCCTGCAACCACAATTAGGTGAGCATGCATGTGCGCACACACACACACACACACACACAACACACACACACACACACACCACACACACACACACACACACACACACACACACACACACACACACACACACACACACACACACACACACACACAAAATACTGCGTGGAATAGACAAGGTGGACAAAGACAGGATGTTCCAGGGAGGGGACACAGAAACAAGAGGCCACAATTGGAAGTTGAAGACACAAATGAGTCAGAGAGATAGTAGGAAGTATTTCTTCAGTCATAGAGTTGTAAGGCAGTGGAATAGCCTAGAAAATGACGTAGTGGAGGCAGGAACCATACACAGTTTTAAGACGAGGTTTGATAAAGCTCATGGAGCGGGGAGAGAGAGGGCCTAGTAGCAACCGGTGAAGAGGCGGGGCCAGGAGCTAGGATTCGACCCCTGCAACCACAAATAGGTGAGTAAATAGGTGAGTACACACACACACACACACAATCACACGCACACACACTCTTGCAACCTCAACTAGGTGAGTACACACACTCACACACTCTCACACTTACACTCTCTCACACTTTCACTCTCACACTCACTCTCTCACACTCACTCTCTCACACTCACTCTCTCACACTCACTCTCTCACACTCACTCTCTCATACTCATTCTCTCACACTCACTCTCACACTCACTCTCTCTTCCCTCCCTCCCCACCCTCCCTTCAAAGATTTCGTTGTTGCACAAAAAAAATTGCAGTGGCAACAAGACAAAAAAATGCCTGTCAAACCTCAGTGGAATGACTGACCTCACTAAATCTTGCCACTCTACTTCACAAAAGAGTGTACTGTAATCAATGCCACTACTATATTTCAGCCAGGAAGCATGTGGTAATTTAAGTCTGGGAATTTTTTGACAGTATCTCGTATTCCTCCTCTTTTTTTTTACATTATTTAATTAAGAGGTTCCTGTTATCATTTACCTCAGCCAGTTTATGCCTCTCTGTCTTGCTGTACCATCTATAACAATCTCTCACACTCCTGACAAAACTGTTTTATTTAATTTGCTGTGTATATACTGTTTGTAATTTTAAGTCTTTTTTATGAATTCTTAGCAGTCCTGTTTCAGAATAGCACATCGATACCCATCCATAGTTCATTGGTGAGTAGACAAATAAAATATTAATTATATTAGTACAGTAGTTTATCTCATGATTTGAAGGCAATAATTTTTTACAAAGAGCTTGTTTAGTAGTTTTATTGTTTAAGACAGTGGTTCCCAAACTGGGGGTAAATTACCCCCTGGGGGTAATTTAACCATTTTTGGGGGGTAATGGAGGGGTGACAGAAAAATCAAGAAAACAATGCGGTACCCGGTATGAGGATTATTGTTAACTTTGTCTTAGTATATAAAGTTGTAAAGTAAACCTATTATAAGTAAGTAATAAAGTTAAACCAAATAACAATAAACATCAAAAACTAATATACAGTATTAGAAAAGAAGAATATATAGCTAAGTGTGTGGAAACCCAAAAGTATTTTGACAAGTATGCTTCAGGACAAAAGTCACTCAGTAGCCCAGATCGACCTGTCCAGTACGCGTCACTCACTTCCTGAGGCTGCCTCTATTTCACACTGTCAGTTTATCTGTGAGCATCAGCCGAGGTAGACATAAGCTGGTATGAAGCCAAGAATTCCTAAACTAGCTTCAAGTATGCAACTCCATCCATCCCACTGATGTTCTTGACATCTTTGGTAATAGTCATTAGAGATGCACAATGTTCAAATACAATAAATAAAAGAAAATATCTCAAGTGTTTTAATTTAGCCATATATATCAATAATAACAACATTTTGTGAAAGGGGTAACATGCTTTATGTGGCATGTTAAATTGGGTAACAAGCTGAAAAAGTTTGGGAACCACTGGTTTAAGACATACGTGTATTGATGTGTATAACAAAGTTTTTAGTAATAAAATTGCACTTTGCTTTTTTCAGGTTTGGTCAATGGAGAAGTTAGAGCACAAGTTGATTGTCATGAGAGAAATGTACGATGAGCAGCAAAATAACCCACTAATTACCCATCCAGATGCTGATCCATTTTATGAGAGCCAAGAAAATCATAACCTTATTGGAGTGGCCAATATTTTCCTTGACTGTTTATTTCATGATGTACGGCTAAATTACCACGTGCCCATTATTTCTCAGCAAGGAGAAGTGGCAGGCAGACTGCAGGTAATAGGAATATAAAACTTATGTAACTAACACTTTGATCCCTTGATTGGGTCAGGGATGTTTAATTTTGTGGCATAAATACAGTACAAATATTGTGCTGTCAGTTTGTCAAGAGGTGGATTAACAGATATATTGTCAAGCACCATCATACAGTACTCTTGCAATTTTCTTGCAGACCCATTTTGCTGCAATGAGCTCTGGTTTTGAGTACAAATATTTTTTAAAACCATTTGCATAGCTTTTCTAAATTTTGTCTATCTGTATCAAATATACTGTTGTTTGTCCATTATTTTATTCTTACATTCTGTATTCTATTCTATTCTATATTAATAGCTATTTCACTCTAGTTTGAGGTGTATTGTAGGTTATAGTAGTTGTAGGCCTTAATATTTCTTTTCTTTTTTTGATGTTTCATAGATCTTTCAGAGGAATCTAGGCCATTAGTATCACTAATAGTTTCAGTTTTTATATACGTGTAGTTTGTTATCCTAGTAGTAAGATGAATATAATAAAGCAAATTTAGTTAGATGTGTTCACCTGGTACACAGACCAGGTGAAACCTTTTTTTTTTTTTTTTTTTTTTTTTTTTTTAAAGTGTTCACTAGTACACAAGACATAAATAGTACTGTAATTGGTCAAGAATGTCACCTGGCTGTCATGAGAGTGACTTGTGTGCACACTTCCTCTCACTCAGCTGCCCAGGAGTGCTGCTGGTATTGTACCCAATTATTGGCATTCAGCTCTGGATTCATCTGGGAAAAATATTTTTTTTTTTTTTTTTTTTTTTTTACTTATTTTTACAGTTCATAATTTTGAAATGTTAAATTGCCTGATAACTTGTTGCTATGAGTCTTGATTTGATGCTTTTGGACAGTTAACAATTAAATATGATAATTGTTTACCATGATCACGATGACCCTGATCTAAACCTCCATAATCTAGCACACAATCAAAACTTATTGGAAAGTAACTGCCTTTATTACACAGCATCACAAGCCAGCACTATCTGAACATTGCTCAAAGTCTATCAGTTCTTAACTCACTA